TGACTATATGCTATAAGATTACCCTTTTATTAAATGGTTGAGTGACGTTATTTGTGTATTGTTCTAGTGGGAGATTTTACTTGGTGCGAAAATTTGGCAGGAATACGTAAAGGACGCTAATAGGAGATATTGCCATGACTTCCCGAGGAAGAAAAATATTGGCCTTAGTCAATCAGGAACATGAAAATAGAAATTTTGGAGTTAGTCTTGAAAATATGGATACAAGTCTTAATAAAGCAGATCAAGATCCAAACGAGCACGTGTTTGACAACGAAAATATTCCGATTATAATGCCGTCTGACTTAATAGATGGAAATGTACTATCTCTAGATTTTGAAAACTGCTTGAGCAGCCCAAGTGATGACATCCCGATTTTTGAAGATTCAGAAAGAATGTTCTTCCAAGCTTGCCGCGGAAGTCAAGATTCTTTAGCATCCAGTAGTCAAAGTGTCTGTATGGATATAACCGAGGATATACCCCAAAACTCAGATATCCAAGAAATGAATGTTATCAACTTCGATGTACCAGATGTCAACTGCCGTCAAAATGTCTGTCCATCTGTTTACATCAATACGAACTATAAGCTCAGTACAGCTTGCTCAGAAAATCAAAGCATCCTCAAAGGTAATTTCAGACACATCGTTTGCTGTTTTGTGTTCTAGTTGAAATGCAACTATTAAAGTAAAACTTTTCCTTGACATTGGCATGTCGCCGAGTGTCAAAATTTCAGTTTAATTATATTATTTGTTTTTGAATTATGAGTTTCATCTTTCTATAAAACTGATTAATTACAAACAGAACTCTAAGTGCGCTTTGGGTTATTTCAGCTTTATAACAGTTTTTTGTGAAGCTTTTCATATCTCGGTAACTGACGCTTACGGTTAAGGTCCATGAGCTTGATGTCCTTTTTTCCAATTTTCTAGGTGGTGTCAGTCTGGTGCCATATGAAATAGAAAGCGATGAGCTCAGTGATAGTGATTCTCCACATGCTGAACCAGTAAATGAAGATGTGTTGAAAGATAGAAATGAAATTGATTATAGTAATTCTGAACCGGGAGAACTAGCCGAAGATCGTTTACTAGCAGATATTGGGAAGATGAACGAGACGAGAAAAAGAAAGAAGATAGCAGATCCAGCTGAATGGAAACGTTTGAAAAATAAGCAACTTAGAATGGAAGGCAAAGAATACTTGGGTTATAGGAAAAAGAAAGGCGAAAAAATAGTACACGATACAATCAGAAGAGAAAGAGAGATGGGAATGGCTTGTAACTCAGCAAGATGTAACAAGAGCAAAAATAAGAACTGTTTCAAGTTCAAAGAGGAAACCAGAAAAAATATATTCAAAAAATTCTGGAATGAAATGAACTGGGCACAAAGAAAAGTGTTTATATCCTCAAATGTCTTTAAAGGAAAAAAGGCTAGAGGTGAAGAAACATCAAGAAGACAAAGCACCTATACATATTTTTTAAACAATGGGGAAGAACAGCTTCAAGTATGTAGGAAAATGTTTGTCAATACATTAGATATAGGATATAAGACAATTCAAGAGTGGGTTTCTAAGAGTTCTTATGGCATGGGCGCAGATATAGTACAAAAAGATAGATTGTGCTATAATAAAGCACGATACTCCAAGCAATATGACCATTTAAGGATGTTTTTAAATAAACTACCAAAATTGCCAGCCCACTATTGTAGAAAGGAGACTACAAAATTATACCTAGAGGAAACGTTCCATGCAATGAGCGATCTTTACAAAGTATATGAAGACTTTTGCAAGGGAAATGGGGAAATAGAAGATATGAAGCCACTTAACCGAAAAATATTCAGAAAAATATTTAACGAAAAAAATCTTTCACTGATCCAGCCTAAAAAGGACCAATGCAATGTTTGTTTTTCATATAAGTATAATAACACTGATGAAGAAAAACATAGAATTCACATTGCAAACAAAAATAGAGCAAGGCAGGAGAAGGCAAAGGATAAAGATCTGGCAGAGAACGGCTCATGTATTGTGTTGAGCATGGACTTACAAGCTGTCAAATTATCACCTTGTCTCCCTGCAAACAAAACCTATTTCAAGACAAAGCTGTGCTGCCACAACTTCACCATCTACAATCTTGCTAGTAAGTGGTTTTCTGAAGACCAAAATAAACAATTGGTTGCATCCACATTCACATCATGCATCATTGACTTCCTGGAAAATAAATGCCTAACCTCGTCTAAATTGCCCATAATAATTTATTCCGACGGATGTGGCTTTCAAAATAGAAATAACGTATTGTCAAATGCATAGCTCAATTTTTCCGCTAAACATCAGGTGAAAATTTACCAGAAATACTTGAAACCGGGTCACACTCAATTGGAATCTGACTCGGTTCATAGCTTGATTGAAAGAAAGCTGAAAAATAGGGAAATACATCTTCCAAGTGACTACGCCAAAGTTACAAAGGAATGTAGAGTTCATCCAAAACCTTACGAGGTGAATGTTATAGAGCACAGCTTTTTTAAAAACTATGCTGAAAGCAAGTTCTTACGATATACGTCTATCAGGCCGAGAAAAAAAGCATTTGATCCTGTCATTTTAGACATAAAATGCATCAAATATGAATATGAACCATATCCAGCTATTCAAGTGAAGTTATCTTATGACGAACCATTTCAAGACATACCTGTCAGGCCCAAAAATGTGCCTATCATTGAGGACTACCCTCAACTGTTAAAAGATCATTGCAAAATTAAGAAAGAAAAATGGGATCACCTCCAAGACCTCAAATCGGTTCTACCAAAGGATACACATGGATTTTATGACAACTTGATGTATCAGTGAAGAGTGTCTGTCAATACTGTAGGTATTGCGACTCGACGAAGATAACTTTGTTTGCTTTTATGCGTTTACTACTATAATTATATCATTAAAGTTTGAGATGAATGACTGTTGTTTCTCATTGAATACCTCCTATCTAGATATAAAAATTCATGCAAAATATCCTATTTGAAAAAACTTATATTTGATATTATCCTATCTACAATTCAAAAGTACTTGGTAAATATTCTAGATGTAATTGTGGAAAATTTGATTCCAATTGACTCTATTAATATAAATGTAAGAAAGAAATGTAGTGAGCTATATTTATTTTGGCTTGTATATCGTTTTTCTATCGTCCTGTAAAATTCCAAAATTTCAGTTAGGAGATAATGCCAGCTCACCGTCGATATTATACCCCATCCTACATCAATAGAATGGAGAGCTTCTAGTTTCCACGTCTGGACCAGGTTGCGGGAAAACTATGGCAATTGTGTAAAGAGATAAATCTGTCTGCCCTCGCGTCAAATATAAAATCTAATAATAATAATACTGGTACAGATGAGCTTTTGCGTCAGTGGGACGTGACAACGCAGTGGGAGCTACACCTGCCACCGCCTTGATTTTGGTTCAAGTATTCGGTGTTTCTGAAATTTCACTTCTAGAAGTAAAGCAAGAATCTGATGGAGGGACCCAGGACGCCGCTTCCACTAATTCTGAAGCTTACCCTGGTCATCGTAACTGGAAAGCTGTCATTCCGATCAGCATCAATAATCCATGGCGTATTGTTGGCTTAGACTACGGTAGGACCTTTGTTGGGAAGAAATACATGTCTGGTTTTCTAACTTGGAATTTCTTACCTTACAGTGCGATAAGAGATCAAGATATAATCGTTTGAGCTATCAGTCTTTTACCCAAAATTTTACTAACGATGCAGATATAAAATGGTTTTTGAAGGGCATTTACAGGCTGAGGCCATCTCAACTGAAATATAGATACTGGGGTTGTTCTCAAACAACCAAAGGGGTTGCTGGTGAGCTCTTTTGGTATTTGGATGAGGAAGTCAGCAACAGAGCTAGCTCTAACCTCAGGTCAGAGTGTGCAAACTACTTGAAACAGATATCATCCGGATAGGGTTGAATAATATTGAAATTGGGATTATCATTTTTTGAAAGTCTCGGGGTCACTCATAAAGCAACCACTTTTAGTTTTATCGTATTTTACGCCCAAATAACTGTGCAGTCAAAGTATTTATTTGTCACTGTACAGTAACTTTATCGTGGTGCCTCTGCTCCCAGATGGATGAAGTCGGTTTTAGCAGAGAGTGTCACAATTGACAGCCCACAGTACATGAAATGCGTCCACCTATCCGCCTGCTAAATTATAGTAGTCTCAGGCTCGCGGCGGGCTGGTCTACGTTTTCTAAGATACGTCACAAATCTCTTATGCCAAACAATAGCTTTGCTCAAGCGGTATTTGAGGTGAACCACCTTAAACATAACTATGTTATTACGTTATTTGCTAATTACCATGAAATGGATGGTAATTTTTGAACCAAGTACGCCATATTACCTGTTGCTAAAAGCCCGAACTTGAGTTGTGACAATGGAAATGTACATATAGTTGACACATACATTGCGTACAATTTGTGTAGTTGTATACAACCTATCGTTTACTATTGCAGAGCGTCAGTAGTCTGTGGCTGCCACTAGCTTTGAACATCTACGATATGTATTCTAAATATTTACTTCGACGAGGACGGAACATAATTACATGATCAAACGAACTTACCTGTAAGTGATGTTCGATCTTAATTATGTGAAGTCCTCTTTGAAGTAAATAGCTCCCTCGCTCCCTATGTATCACCCAATTGTTGCAAAAACTTGGCTTTGACAAAAAGAATGTTTATAGGCGGCCAGAGGGGGAGAAGCTAGGGGGAACAGGCGCGGTGCCGCTTCCTTTCGCTGCGTGCGCGCTTTGAAATCGTGGGGTTTGGTACATCTAACGAGGGTACTACGCGATATATATTCTAAATATGTACATACGAGGATTTCACATAATTAAGATCGAACATCACTTACAGGTAAGTTCGTTTGATCACATCATTTTTTATTCAATATGTTATACGACCTTAAGAGAAAATTAGAATGCATTAAAAAATGAAACAATATTATGATTTTTATTAAGATCTTATAAATTACTGTTCTTTAGTTTCCCTAAGACGTCTTACTGCCGACCTAACAGATGCTGCAGCTATAGTTGAGTATACCCATGCACCACCAGCAACAACTCGTTTGCATCTCTTGGAGGACCAAATTTCGACAAAACTCCTTTTCATGGCTTCCTAAAGGATAAATACACATCATTTAAAACTATCAAATTTTACAATATATGCCTATATGTTTAAAATTATCTTAAAAGAAGCACTTGATAATGAAATTTAAATCATTTAATAATGACATGTTTATGTAATTTTCTAACACATGCAAGCACAACATGATGTGTTCCTCCAAAAATTATGAACAATCAGGCATCCTGTGGGTCGCACCTTCACTAAAGTTTGCATCTCTGATCATGTAAAGCTCCTTTGATACAAAAAGAAATAATAATAATGTTCACTGGTTTCCATATAAATAATGCAGGTAGTGTCCAATAAACATACAAAAAACCAAAAGACTATGAACTTGTGCTTGGGTTGAACTCGAATTAACTAAATTCAGTAGATTTCTTGTCAAATGAAACAAATTGTATCAAATGTACATTATTTTTGATGTCAAGAAAGGCAACATGCCTTATGGTAAAAGTGGTTTCGGTTAATTTCGCTGAATTTTTGATATGTTATGCGCCTCGGTATCATGAACAAATATTTCAATGGCCACAGGTCCCCAACCTCAACGGGTTCCAAGATATAGGCATAATGGTGTATCTGCTTTAAGTGGAAGAGTGGTTTAGGTCAATTTCGCTGAATTACTCATATGTTGTGTCTTGTCGTCATGACTAAATGCCTCAATAAGCACATGCCCCAAGGCACAACGGGTCTCAAGATATATAGGCCGTCTGAGTCAGTGTAATGGAGTAAGCAGTCCTACCCGAATATCTGCTTCAAGTAAAAGAGTCGTTTCGGTTAATTTTTCCAAGTTTTTCAATATGTCATGTGCCTCGGCATCGTAAACAAATGCCTTAATATAAAAGACCACAAAACTAAACGGGTTCCATGATATAGGGCGTCCAAGTCGGTATAATTTATTGGTTATACTGGCATATATGCTTTAAGTGAAAGAGTGGTTTCGGTTAATTTTGCTGAATTTTTGATATTTTACGCGCCTTGGCATCCTGAAGAAACGTTTTAATGACCACAGGCCCCAAACCTCAACGGGTTCCAAGATATAGGCCGTTCAAGTCGGCATAATGGAGTATCGGCCCTACTCAATATCTGCTTTAAGTGGAAGAGTGATTTCGGTCAATTTTGCTGAATTACTCATATGTTATGTGTCTTGGCGTCCTGAATAAATGCCTTAATGAGCACATGCCCCAAGACACAACGAGTCCCAAGATATGGGCCGTTCGAGTCAGTATAATATCTGATTCAAGTGAAAGAGTGGTTTCGGCTAATTTTGCCTATTTTTAATATGTTATGTGCCAAATGCCTTAATGGAATGGATAATCTATTGGTTATACTGGAATATATGCTTTAAGTGAAAGAGTGGTTTCGGTTAATATCGCTGAATTTTTTATATGTCATGTGTCTCGGTATCCTGATAGTCCTTGATAGTCACAAGCCCCAAAATTCAGTGTCCGAAGTCAGTATAATGGGATGTCGGATTTGCTCAGATATCTGTTCTATCTAGAAGAGTAGTTTCGGTTAATTTGATATGAATAATTTTTGAAATCTCATGTATCGCGCCATCCTGAACAAATGTCTCAAAGATCACATATAATTGGAACCACATCCCTTTTCCATTGGGGTTGGAAGAATTAGACTCAATGATGTTTAATAGCAGGTAGGCCGACGAATCTGTTAACCGGCTACGACTCAACAAGAGCGATTAAAGTGACAGCTGCTAGTGTATTTTTCTATATAAGGGATATTGATCGAATATGTTGTTGTGAGAGGATATTCTAGGTTAATCGTTACTTGTTGCAATATACAAACAGTTCATTACTAAGTACTGTACAAACATTTTCTGTTTAGTCTTCCACTGCATTATATACTTTTTGTTGGTCGTTTCTCATATTTCGTTTATCGTTAATCATGTTTCATTTTTGGTTTTCCATTTTGATTTTTCGTACTGTTTTAATTTCGTTATTTTTAGCTTTACGTGTAGAGTTTTAGTTTTGAGCTGTGCAGCTTGCATTTTATACTATAGCAGCGTGCATGGCGCAGCGCATGCCATGTTATGTGTATAATGAAGTGGAGATTGCTATGAGGTACCGTGAGGATCTGAACCACTCTGTTTTTGTGATAAACGATATATCGCGTGTTTGTTTTAACTGTGATTTATTACTTACACGGGACGAAGCGGCCTTGCAAAATCCCGAAAGTCTTAGGTTGAATGACCTTAGACAAAAATCCTCTGAAACATGTATGATATGTAATCACCTGAGTATACATTTGCACCGGCTTAGTATTGAGGCTCAGGTTGAAATATACATATTTGGTGAGTAACATTTACGTCCCTCAAGCATCTCGGATCTGTTCACAGCACTTCGATGAAAAAGGATTTCGTTTGAGGAACTTGTATATAAAAGTTGGTAGACTTTTTACACGATTAAGAAAATCGGCTTTAAAAAATCGTGCGCACTCTCTTGATCCTGATTATTTGACTGATGAAAATTGTACTTATCACACTTCGATATCAAAAGCTCAATCCAGTAATGTACATGAGTCTTGCATTCCTGTCGCTGGGGGTAATAACTTTCGTGGTTACTACAGAGTTTTGGGGCCTCTACCCATTAGGACATTTGTTCAGGACGCCGAGTCACATAACGTATAAAAAATTCAGGGAAATTAAAAGAAACCGCTCTTTAACTTGAAGCAGATATTCGACTAGAACCGTAATCTCATTATGGTTTGGACGGTCTACATGTTAGGGCCAGTTGAGTTTTGGGCCCTATGCCCATCAATGCATTTATACAGGACGTCGAGACACATAACATATGAAAAACTCAGAGAAATTAATCGAAACCGCTCTTTCACTTAAGGCATACATTCGAGTATAACCAATATATTATATGGACTTGGACACCCTATATCTTGGGACCTATCGAGTTTTGGGGCCTCTGTCCATTAAGGCATTTGTTCAGACTTCCGAGTCACATAACATATAAAAAATTCAGCGGAATTAACTGGAACCACTATTTCAGTTAAAGCATATATTCTCATTATACCTACCCAATAGATTATACTAACTTGGACGCCCTATATCATGGACTTCGTTGAGTTTTGGGGCCTGTGTCCATTAAGGCATTTATTTAGAATGCCGATGCACATAACATATAAAAAACTTAGCGAAATTAACCGAAAGCATTCTTTCACTTGAAGCAGATATTCGAGAAGGACTGTTTATTCCATTATACTGACTCAGATGGCCTATATCTTGGAACCCGTTGTGTCTTGGGACATGTGCTCATTAAGGCATTTATTCAGGACGCCAGGACACATAACATATGAGTGATTCAGAGAAATTGACCGAAACCACTCTTCCATTTAAAGGAAATATTTGAGTAGAACCCCATTATACCAACTAGGACGTCCTATATCTTGGGGCCCATTTAGGTTAGGGGCCTGTGCCCATTGAAACATTTGTTCGGAATGCTAAGATGCATAACATATAAAAAATACAGCGAAATTAACCGAAACCACATTTCCCATAGGCGTGTTGCCGGGTCCTTTAATTATATAATTATTAAATTTAATTATTAGATGTTGAAAATATTTACTTTTCTTGTATTTATCTGAATTGCAATATTAATGAATTCTATTAAAATAAAATTCCTTTAAAAAAAACAACATAAATAGATTACGAAAACTAGGAAACAAGCCAATACATTTGTTTTTGCAGAGTATAAAAGCAGTAAAGCACATGTTACTGCTTTTTGTTACATCATTACTTCAGGCATCAACAACAGTTTTGATCTAAAATCACATTAAAATGATTCTCTATAAAGTCCTGTAACTTTGCAATATTCATTCACTTTTGTTTTGTTACAATAGTTCTATTATATTATTCATTGCATTATTATGTCTAGAGTTCACAGACGCGCTAATTTCACACAACTTTCCGAGTTTGAGGGGGGTCAGATAATCGGATTACGTGAAGCCGGATTTTCTTCTAGAGAAATCGCTAATCCGGCGAATCTAAACGAAGCTACTGTAATCAGATATTGTCGAGCTTGGTTTTAAGAAGGGTTACATCGACGAGTTAGAGGTACTGGACGTCAAATACAGACTACACAGCGACAGGATCGTTATTTGAGGCAACTAGCACTTAGAGATCGATTTTCCACAACAAGGGCAGTTGCGAACCAGTGGTTTGATGCTGTCGGAAGGGCAATGAGGACAGTTTATCGCCGAATAAGGTCCTTTGGACTGTTTTCATACCATTCTCATCTTGTACTACCTCTGACCCCACAGCATAGTCGGCTACGATTGGTAGGGAGTAGGGAGAGACATAAATGGAATATGGAATGAAACCCAGTCGGGTTCAGCTATGAGTCTAGATTCTGTTTGGGCACACAACATCAAATATTTAAGAATCTTTTTGACATTCATGGTGGGACATTCATGCAGCCTATATTTTAAAGAAAATAATATTTGTTAACATATAAAATTAAATTCCTCACAGGCATATTGACAGAAAATTATATGCGTACTATATGTCATGCCTTAATTGAGCCGCACCTAAGGTATGGTATATGAGCGTAAGGTACAGCATGTCCAGTGTACTTAAACGAAATAGAAGTTTAACAGAGAACTGTTTTAAAAATTATACACTCTCACTAGGAGAACCAAGACCTCGTCGTTGGTGAGAGAGCCCAGTAGCCTTCGATATCCAGGGAGCGATGCCGGCGGTATCGTAGCAACTGGTAGGGTCACCCATGCCGGTAAGGTCTCGAAGTGATGCAGGCGAATCTAAGAAGGTACCCACACAACGGGCGGCTGTCAGTAACTGTTTGGTGACGATCTGGCAATGGAATAGACAACGGCGCTGGTGATGGAAGGAACACGACGACCCGGAATGAACATATGACGACCTGGCGATGGAACGGAACACTTATCAATCATGAAATAAAGAATGTGCGACAAACAAATGGATGAAGTACCCCGCGTGAGTATGC